AAAAAGTCATCAATCTCATGAAAAATGTTTAAGCCATAATATAAAAAGGTTTCACACAGATGATAAGTTCAGCTCTACAGAATCAGGGCCAGTCAAAGCACACATTTTAAAATTTACCAAGTAACTATCTGGCTTTTGTTTTCAGAAGGTAATATCAAACACATGCAACACAACAACCAAAAAAAAAAATCTAACAAGAAAGTAAATAACTTCAAAATGTCATGATTTTACCAAAGTTCAGACTCAAATGACCCAAACAGGGAGACCAGAAGAAAAGGTTTAACAGGTTTTATTGAAGAGATAATGCTGAGAGAAGTGTTGCTCTGAACACTGCTCAACAGGAACTGAAAAGTGAGGGGAAGACATGCGGTTGTTTGTACGGAGAAGCTGACTGCCACTCAGATTTCCTGCGGTACTTGAACGGGTTGTAGTGGAGATGAATCCCTTTCTCAGTGTGAAGCTCTAACAATCTCTTGGGGAAAGTGGGTCCAAACCTCCTGTTTGTAACCCCAGCTCAGCTTGAAGCTCGGTTGATCCTTCCAGGGAGAGAAGGGCCGAAAAATCCGGTTTGCAGGATGACTTCCCAAAACTGGCAAACACTCTGGAGTCGAGGTAGTGGCAGTCAGCAGCTTAAGAACAATCCGTTAACGTGGAAACCATCAGCAGGTGTGTGAGGAGGCCGACCAGAACCAGGCGCCTCCTGGTGGAGGAAGGGAGACAAACACAGAACACAAACACACAGACAGGAGTCCTGACACAAAATAAAGCAAATCCAAATTAGAAAAATAAGACATGCAATTAACTTCAAAAAGGGAGAAGAAAACAGGCCACATTACCACACATGAACTTGTGGAATTCTATGAAATTGTCTGTCAACATGAAACCTTCACAAAAATGTATCTATGTTGTGGATGAACTGGCTAAAACAAATTAACTGAATGGCTTTTATGAACGGTTTGATAATCATGAATTTTTCTGCTAGAATTGACTCAATACTTTGATTTTGATCCTGTTATCATCAATGCGGAGTTCAAGCAGGTCAATGTCAATAAGGCCACAAGTCCAGACAGCTTTCTTACTAAGAACTTTTGCCGATGAATTGACACATGTTTGGAGATCAATTTTTCACAGATTTGTTAATACTCAATATTGTACCATCTTTGTGGCAGAGGGCAATTATTATACCTGTTTCCAAAAATCACTGCTCTCAAGAGAATAAAGACTGTAGACCTTCCGCTGTGACATCTGTTGTGATGAAGTGATTAAAAATGGGTGGAAACTTATCTAAGATCGGATGTGTGTCCACACCTAGATGCTTACCAATTTGCTTCTAAATGTAAAAGAGGCAGTGATGATGCTTGTAATGGCATACAGCATCTGGTGACTAAACATCTAGAAAAACCCCAAGGCTTATGCTAGACTGCTTTTTGTTGATTTTAGTTCAGCCTTTATTACCCTCCAGCCTCATGTTCTTCTTTCTACAGTGAAATGAAAATTAATCAATATATTATAGGATGGTTTCACTCATCACTTATTAATCGTTCCCAGCAAGTCAGGATGAACAGGACCTTATCTGATCTTTTCAACATCAGTCCAGGCGCTCCACAGGGGTCTGTGCAGCTATTCTCTGCCTCATTTCAGGCACATCAGACCTAATTAGTTACAGACAGCAGATTTAAACCTTTTTTCAGTGGTGCGAGGAACACTTTTTGACACTTAATATCTAAAAAACGCAAGAACCGATCTTTGACCCGAAGGCAGTCGGAGACCACTCTTCAGTGAACATCAATAATCCACTAATTGCACAGGTAGAGTCCTACAAATATGTTAGATTACAAATTGACAATAAATGATCTGGGATTGCTTGGATTGATTATGTCTGCAACAGCGTACAGCAGCGGCTAAATTTTTTTGCACAGGTTGAGGGCCTTCAGTGTCAGAGACTCATGCTGCTTTTTTACCATGCTGTAATAGAGAGGTACAGCATTTCTGCCTGGTTTGGTAAACTCTCTGCCCAAATGAAGGCCAAACTTACTTGCCTTACTTAAATAGCTATGAAGTTGATGGTAGTGAAGCAGCACCCCTCACTTCAGACAATATTCAATGAAACAATAACCAGACAGGCACAGAAAATAATTTCAGACCCAGGTTGATGATTTTGTTGATGGGGGTCACTAGTTCTCTGAGTACTGCCTTACATAATACAGCCCTTTGACAGAGAAAAACTGTAAAAATATAAAGTTGGCTCCCTGGTTAAATGCAGAACTGCAGCCCTGAAGCAAAATGCTAGTAAACTGGAGAGAAAATGGCACTCTACATGCCTACGGGAATCCTACCAACTCTGGAATATTGTTTACTGCTATAAAAGAGGACCCTTTGTAAAGCAAGAGCAGCATATTTCTCTTCATAAAAGAGGAGAATAATCCTATATATTTTGTAACACAGTTGCCATACTCACCCAGAGCCACAGCTCTATTGAACCATCCACCCCACCTGCTCTTAGCAGTAATGATTTTATAAAAAATAATTTTAAGAAAAATAAGCTGATTAGTTAGTTCATGTGGATGGGATTAAACTGGTCTCAGATTATAAAGTAAAAAATCTTGTTATTTTTTATCAGGATCTTTCATTTAAATCCCATATCAAAGAGGTCTCTAGAATTTC